CTCGGAATTGGACCGTTCAAGTCTCTAATTTTTCCTTAAGAAGTCAAGAATCCATTTTTGTGCTTTGTTTCGGTTGTTGTATGGAGTTTATTAGAGTAAAAGCCCTTTTCTTTTCCGTTGGTCGTGTAGACGCTGCAGCTTCGGAAGATCCGCTCTTCGTGGAAGTTGAAGCCGGCGTTTGGGAAAGCGAGCAAGGCAAGTCACATCATCCTTGAGCATATTGAATCCCAGTTTATAAAATTATTTTGATTTAAATTATTGCATTATCGCTTTGTTTAAATTCCCGCGTTATCACTGTTTTATTTAGCCATGCCTATTTACCTTTGTTATGACCTTAATATTATTGTTATTGATATTATTACCTTGTTCACCCTAGGAAAATAAAACCCCAACTAGTGGGTACTCTATTTATAGTACCACTAGTACAATTTTAGGTAGATGCTTCGCAATTTAATTAGGTAACATTAGGTGGTTTTATAACTTTAGACTTTGGGAATTCTCATATCATTTGGACACTATGGAATTGTTGGTTTATGGTGGAATTGGACACACACCTCTCTTCCTCTTTCAAAACCCCTAAAACCTGTTTTCGGTGGGGTTTGGGTGCATGCCAGTTGTGGGAAGTAGCACCCCGGCCACTATAAGGATTAAGCTCGGGCCTCTGTTGCAAAGCACTACCGTACTTCCACATGTCTAATGGGTAAGGCTTAGTTTGTGGCTCAGTCTAGTCATAAACAAAAGTACACGGATTGGAGATGGATGAAGTCGGGCGTCGATGGACATTCTCCAGGGCAAATGAAGGCTACACGGGCTGCGGCCCGGTAGTCGAGATGTCGTACGGCAGAGGGTTGGTGCCCTGCTGCTAGGGGCTCAGTTCTGCCTGCCTGTCCCGGGTATCCCGGCCGCAGGTGGGATTGGGTCGGTACTCTTGTTTATGGTTAGGATGGGTTGGGAACTATGTCACGTCTTCCGTCCGTATACCGTGGTGGTATGTGGCACGTGGTAACACGTGAGGAAGATGTGTCTTGTGGGTAAAGATGTACACCTCTGATCAGAGTAAATCTATTCGAATAGCCGAGCCCTCGGATATGGGCAAGCCGAGCAATGTACCCAAGTCAGTGTTCTAATTCTTAAAATTGGCTCAACAACTAAAATATGGAATGGTTGGCCTGGGTTGGCTTGGGACGAGCTGGGACCCAGGTCGGGTTGCCAGTTCGGTCCGAATCATCGTAGGCCTTGGGTTAAGGCAGGTTCGTGAAGGTTCACGGCCTTGATTAATAATACTATGTAGCTCTAGAATCGTCTTTACAAAATGGCTTTGGGCAACCAAGCGACTTTTAAATGCTGTTTACTGCAAAACTTAATCCCTATTATTATTCCCTTGTACCCCCCTTGCATTAATTATGCATCCGCCGGTGTGGCTTGCTGAGTACTGTGGTTGTACTCATTCTTGCTCAATCTTTCCCCTCTTCAGTAAGAGAAGCTTTGGAGAAGATGTCTTAGGTGGAGTCTTGGCTTATACCCCAGTTGAGCGCCTGTGAAGATGGAGCCGTAGGCCCGCTAGTCCGCTGCTGTTTATTTTTGATTGTCAGGCCTGAAGCGCCTTTGTAATAATGTAAATATTATCGATATAATAAAGATGTGTCTTTTATATCATGTTTGTGTGGTGTACCCCGGCTTTTCCTGGGACGGGGATTAATACACTAGCGTTCGGGAAAAGGAAATTTTCCCGGTCGCGACAAGAATCCAGAGAGTTCGGCATGTATCCAGATGGGGAGAGAGAGTAAATAAAAGAAGTACAGTATCAAAATTGATTGAATAATCTGTGAACGTACATAGGTGGGCCCGGTTGAGTTGATGGAATAGTACGTATACATGTGGTGGGAAAAAATTATAACAACTAAATACAGTAGAATACATACTGGGTGTGGAATCATACGCACGAATCTCAAAGGGCAGCGAACGACGATCCATGTAGGGGGATATCCTCTTAGGGGATCAGAAGAGTTTGCCCATCATAGGCAGGTTTATCGTGTTCGGTTTGCCCCCTCATGACCGACGAGAGCGAGGAATCCTTCGTGTGGTTGATCGAGACATGACTTGCTTTCAAGGGTGGGAAGAAGCCGATATAGTTCACAATTGGTTATAATAGGGTTGTTGAGATGGCTGACATGAGGGTCTTTGGTGGTGATGTTAGGCACCGGTTTTGCCAACTGCCGGCGAAACCGTTGAGGGAGCCAGATTATACCGGTTTCAATATATCCGGTATACGATTCACGGATAAAAATTAGATTGGAACTATATTTAAGGGAGTTAAAGTGGGCTTATTCCTTCCCCATCTATAGATGCAGCCCAAGTAAGACTCGTGATACACGTATGGGCCTCGGCCGATTTCTTAAGGAAAAAGTACACCGAAGGTCCCTCAACTTGTCATTGAGTTACAAAATCATCCCCCTACCGTAAAACCAGATACCGGACGTCCCTCAACTAACAAAATTGTTCGCTTTAGATCCTTTGGTAGTTTTGATCCCGGTTTTATCCGACGTGGCAGCTGAGTCAGCGTGGGACCCACGTGGGCCCCACATGTCAGCGTGGCCACGTCAGCCTCCTCTCTCTCTCTCCCCTTCCCCTCTCTCCCTTCCTCATCTCTATCACTCTTCTTCTCCTTTGCGACTTGGGCAGGCCGGCCGACGGGTCACGCCATGCACGACGGCGACGCTGGCGTCGCGCGAGACGGGCGGGTGCGCTACGAGGAGGGAGGGGACGAGGCCCACGAGGTGCTGACGGGGTGAAGAGCTGCGGCGGCGGGGGAGGCGAAGCGCGCGGGCGGCGGAGGAGCGACTGCCGACGGCGGAGGAGCGGCGCGCCGGGCGGCGGCGGACGACACCGAGTCAGGGTTCGTCGACCCGCGTCGCCGCCGCCGTGGCCGCGGACGACGTCGACGTCGACCTCGGCATCCTCGGCGGCGGAATGAACTACATCAGATAGCTCACCGGCTGGCGTCCGACGTCCACGGCCGCGACGGCACCGCCGCCCACGCGTGCCGAGGGCGACGTCGTCCGCAGTCACGGCGACGGCAGCGTGGGTCGATGAACCCCGACATGGCGTCGTCCGCGTTGTTGTACCGACGGTGGACTACAAGCGGAGAGCCACGTGTGGTGGAGCAGCCTGTACCGGCGCATCGTGGTGGGGCACGGTGGCCGGCCAGTGAGGCGCACACTGAGGACCTGGATGAGGGCGAGCGTTGCCTCGGCAAGTAGGAGCTCGCCCACCGCCGCTCAATCTGACAATGGATAATCAGAGAAACAATCAACAATTAGGACTGATATATATGTAGACGTGAATTGAAATTGCCAACTTGTCGTGATTCCTGGTACGTCACAAGCAAAGCATGTGCAGGATGGCCGGAGTGGCAGGAGACGCTGCAGCTGGCGCCGGGGATGCCATCGCTACACACGTCGCTTTTGTCGTGGAACAACTCTGGCACGGCGGAATGGTAGCACATCATCTTCGATCTCGCTCTGGTTCGAGTCAATTCGACACTAGAGAGAGCCAGAGGAGCACGAGCCCCTAGCCCCGCCGCGGGTGGTGCTTGCGGAGGTGGCGCTGTGGCCGTGGCTGGCGGCGGAACCACGGGAGCTGAGGGTGGAGCTGGGCCGGCTCTACTCCCGCGTCGTCGCGCGCAGAGTGGAGCTCGACGCCGCGGCGCTGGTGATGCCGTGCTGGGGTCCTTCCTGGCCGTTGTCGACCGCATGGCCGTCGCCGAGGTCGAGCTTGTCGCCTCGCCATGGTCTGCCCCCGGGCTCGACGCTTCGCCTCCCCCGCCGGCGCCTCATGGGCCTCGTCCCCTCCCTCCTCGTAGCACACCCGCCCGTCTCGCGCGCCGCCAGCGTCGCCGTCGTGCGTGGCGTGACCCGTCGGCCGGCCTGCCCAAGTCACAGAGAGGAGAAGAAGAGTGATAGAGATGAGGAAGCAGAGAAGAGGTTAGAGAGAGAAGGCTGACGTGGCCAAACTGATATGTGAGTCCCATGCTGACTCAGCCGCCACGTCGGAAACTGGGGTCAAAACCATCAAAGGGCCTAAAGCGAACGGTTTTGTTAGTTGAGAGATGTCCGGTATCTGGTTTTGTGGTTGGGAGATGATTTTGTAACTCGATGACAAGTTGAGGGACCTTCGGTGTACTTTTTCCATTTCTTAATAATTAAAGAAGAAAGGAATAAGTTCATCTGAGGTCCCTTAATTTTATACCGAATCTGATTTTCGTCCTTGAACCCCAAAATCAGATACAACCGGTCCCTAAACTATTAAAACCGGTACAAACGAGGTCCCTCGGCGGTTTGGAAGGCGATTTTGGCTGACGTGGTGCCTACGTGGCTGGTTTGACTAGGTCTCTGTCCCACGTAATATTGACGTGACGCTTACGTGGTAATTATATCTTAGAAAAATAATAAAAACCATGGGCCCACATGTCAGCCACACACACAAAAAAAAAATATGGTGGGGCCCACATAGGCTCCACATGTCATTCCCTCTCCCCACTCGGCTCTCCCTCTTCTTCCTCATCGCGCCGCGGCGCCGCTTCATAGCCATTGCCGTTGCTGTTGTTGTCGTCCCAGTCCCTGACGCCTCCAACGATGATGGTGGCCGAAGCATGCCGGCAGAGTGGCGGGGCAGAGCGGAGTGGAGGGGAGCGGAGTGGCGGCGGCGGAGGTGGCTGGAGGAGGAGGAGGTAGAAGAGGAGGTCGCCGCCGAGTTCTGCCGCCTAGACGGAGAGGACGCTGACGGCGAAGGCATTGAAGAGGAGCACGAGTGCGGGCTCCGCACCGGGACCTAGAGCTTGTCGTCCCTTCTCCGTGCCTCGTATCGCCGCTTCCTGCCTCTCCTTGACGCTCGCCCCCTAGCCTATCCACCTCGCATGGCCGGCCAGGATCTGCATCCCCGATCCGCTCTTCCTCGTGGGCCCTCCATCGCCACCACGCTCGAGAAGGAGATGGAGTTCGATGGCCGCGGTGGTGGTGTACGACCCCGCGGCGGCGCCGACCACCACGCCGCCGGTCTCCTCCAAGAAGACGCCCGCGCCTGCCGCTGTGCCTACTACCACTGCACCCACTGCCGCGCCGATCACCCCTGCCACCCCGGCCCTTCCCACGGCGCCCACCACCTTGCCTCCGGCCATCGCGCCATCCACCAAGTCCACCAAGGCACCCGTCCTAGCGCCCAAGGCCAAGGCCACCCCGCCGCCACCTCCTCTCTCCCGGTCGAGGCTCCCGTCGCCTGCGTCGTTGTCCACCATCTTGAGGATCCCTGCTGCGGCGCATGCCGAGCCACCGCATCTGGAGCTCAGACAGCCCGCCTCACTCGCCTGCTCCGCCCTCCACTCGCCTGTCCGCTCCTCGGGAAGAAGAGAGAGAGAGGAGAGGGAAGAAGAGAGGAGTGAGGATGGGAAAGAAGAGAGAGAAGGGAGGAGTGAGGCTGACATGCAGGACCCACGTGAGTCCCACCATTTTTAAATTTTTTTTTTGTGTAACTGACATGTGGACCCATGGTTATCATTATTATTTTTGGATAGAATTGTCACGTAAGCGTCACGTGAATGCCACATGGGACAAAGACCTAGTCAAACCAGCCACGTAGACGCCACGTCAGCCAAAACCGCCGAGGGACTTCGTTTGCACCGGTTTTGACAGTTCATGGACCGGTTGTATCTGGTTTTGGGTTTAAGGACGAAAATCGGATGCGACGTAAAGATAAGGGACCTCAGATGAACTTATTCCAAGAAGAAATGTTAAGACTCATTCGACAACTACGTGGCTCTGTTCTTTTCTCCAACAAAAGTTGGATAAACTTTTGATACTTGTGGCACGCTTTTCAAACTGCTAAACGGTGCGTTTTGTGCGAAAACTTTCTATATGAAAGTTGTTCTAAAATATCAGATTAATCAATTTTTCAAGTTTATAATAATTAAAATTTAATTAATCGCACGTTATTACCACCTCGTTTTACGCGAAACACTTAATATTTATCTTATCTTTATCTTTAGGAGATTCAAACACCACCACAAAGACATATCGTCGATTGAAAATCTCCATAACAATCATGTTTTCTCTGCTTCTGAGATTACACTAACTAAATATATAGTATATAGATCACATGCTCATATCGTTGTTACATCATGGGATCGATGAGAACGAGCCATGCATATGGATCGGATCGAACTGCTCATGTGTCACCCAACCATTCGCCGCCCGGCCGCATCGCGGCTTTAATTTGATCCGGTTTACAGGACGGCGCGCGGTCTGCTTCACGTACGCGAGCAGGACGAGTCGGTCACTGAAACGTACGTAACAGATCGACGAGGACGACGACGCAGCGTGTGAATCGGCCTGACAAATTAGATCACTGTTCCTCGACAGCTTCATCACACGACAGGATGCATGCATATACGTAGCACTAGTACCTACACTTTTTCACTTCCATTTTGCATGCTAAGTTCTTACGAGTGCATCACATGTCATGTCCGGTTTCTGCAAATATATCCCTATTATATATATATGAAAAAATTACAAATTACCCTCTGACTATCGTGGTTAACCGAATTACCTCTATGAACCTAAGAACCAAATATTGTTCACCATAAACTTTTAACCGAACGAATTACCCACATCGACTCAATCTAGAGCGGTTTTGTCCTATGTAACATACGTATGACAATCCAGTCAGCATTTTCTTTTAAAATAATGATGGGACCTATATGTCATACCTCCTCTTCCCCTCTTCCTATCTCTCGGGTGCAAGGCGCGCAGGGCCGGGCGATGGGCAGTAGCATGAGACGTGGAGGCGGAGGACGGAGCTTGGTGGCTCCGGCGATGGCGAGCAGCGGCGGGCGCGGCAAGGAGGGGGAACCGATGGCTGGGCTCCAGACAACGGTGGGAGCGCCGTGGAGGGGGCGTGGCTAGGTGGCTCCGGTTGGTGGCGAGCGACGGGCGCAGCTAGGTAGCTCCGGTTGATGGTGAGCGACGGCGGGCGCAGCTGGGAGGGGTAACCAGTCGCGCAGGTACTTGCCGTGCAGGATACGACGAGGCGGGCGTCATCCGTTGCCGCCCCTCTTCCTCTCTTCCCCTGGAGGTGATGCGGACACTAGCGAGGCAAGCCTCACCGCCGCCATTGCCGCTCCTCTACTCCAGCCACGTGATCCTGACACCGCATCAGCCGGAGGCGTCGGCGAGGCTTCACCCGCACCACCAGCACCTCCACGCCACCCACTCCCTCCTAGCCTTCTCCACCTCCGCCAACTGACGTTCCGTCTCCACGTCCCGTGCCGACCGCACGCCGCTCGACCACCCTGTGCCTGTCGACGCCTGAGAAAGTGAGGGGAAGAGGATAAAGAGGAGGTGAGAGAGTATGATAGGTGGGTCCCACTATCTTTTTAAAAGAAAATGTTGATTTGTTGCCACGCGTACGTCACGTAGGACAAACTGTTCTGGATAGGTCGAGGGGTAATTCGTACTGTCAAAATTACCAAATCAAATCTACTCCATGAGTTTACAGGATATAAATGTAGCAATCCCAGCAGATCACAAACAAATCGATCGATCGATAATGTCCAAGGCCCAGCACATCATGATACGAGTCGCATCCAGTCATGCACGACAGAAACGTCTTTGTCAGCGTGTATAACGACGCACGCTGAAAGAAAGAGAGATGCATACGGCGACAGATTCGCCGGCACCCGATGAGACTGACCGCCAACTGCATCCATCATTCTGCCACACGTACGGGCATCGCCAACGCCAAGGCACGTGTTAATTAATTTGGCGCGGCGTCAGTGTGTTACTCCCTCCTTCAAAAAATCTGAGAACTATTTCATTCGTTGGTTTCTGTAAAAATCTGAGTCCTATTTGCAGTCACCATGTGCTAAATTAAATTGTTGATCGAAAACCAAAAAGCTATTCTAGTACTTATTGGTTGCATGTTCGTTGGTTTTGCCACATGGTGAGTGAGTTAATTGCTTCTTGGTTTTGATGAAAAAGAAATAGATCTTAGATTTTTGTAAGGAGGGAGTACTATCTACACGTCCCAAAGCAATTATTTATAAGTAGTAGATTATAACATCTTGAAAAAAACTATGACAATCTGAAACAAAACAAGAGATTTTGTGATTAGTTGGGGTAGGAAAATGGATGAATTACTTATTGTATTTTTGAAAATTTCGAATGTCAACATTTTTTTTTTTGGACAGATGAGATCTACTAGCAGTTTTCGAGCCAGCAGAGCATCGTGTAGCACCTATATATAGATACAACATGTTGCAGCTAGAAAGCTTCAGCCACGTAGCACATACCGTGAGTAATGTAAGCGCTTCTAGAAGCTCTACTCCGATCCGAAAACAATTTCTGACTAAGTATTCAGACATAGCTAAAAATTATTTGTTTTTACGTGAGGTGTAATTACGTAGATGCAGCCGAGCGGGCAAATGTGTTCCCCGAAGTGAATCGAACCGACATCGTGTAATCTGCTGTAGCGCATGGTGGCATTGTGGCTACATGGTCTACGTGGTGCTCTGCCTTGCCGGCCGGTTGGTGTTTTCAGCGACAGATCGTGCAGATTAATATGAATGATAGCACAGGAGCACTGCGGTGTACTCTGTCTGTCTCAAAATAAGTTAATTTGTTTCTATAAACTCGGTAAAAAGGGTTGCCCGCATACGTACGTGCACATGTCATCCACTGGCACCTGATGTGGATGCCTTGTCACCTGCCAGTGGACGTCTTGTCTACTGTAGTCTGTAGGAGAGGGATGGATGGATTGGATGGGGAGGGTAGAATTACGGTGGATATGGTCCTCCAACGCACCTGTCGTTAGCAGTTGATGATAAGACGCAGACGCTTAATTAAAGGAACTATCATCTCTGAATATTGACAGTATTGTCCATTTCGTTGAGAGTCAAACTGAGGTAGTATCGACTATCGAACAATTGGCCGAATGACCGGACGAGCTCGTACCAGGATGAGAGACTGTACTACGACTAATTAAGATGAGTAAATGACAATGTTAACTAGGAACAAAGTATATATTTGAAAATTAGAAAATAAATCGGTCATAACGAAAATGTGGAACTGAAACAAAATTTTCAGGAACATTGGATCATACTTTTTTTCTTTAATAATGAATTTCATTCTGGCCTTAACTTCAAAGAAATTACAACCAATTATTATAGAGTTCGGGATGGATAACTGTGGATATATTACAAAACTATAGCTTGATTACAAACTCTTAAAAGTACCATCCTAATGACATAAATCTCCATCTATGTTTGGCCAGAGTATACTTACCAGTTGTTTCTACCAAGGGCTTATATAAATTATATATAGTCATCTTTCACGAACTAGAAAAGTATAATCTCTGAAACGAACGGTCAATCCTTTGTCAATCGAATTTCTCTACCATCACCACTGATGAACTAGCATTGAACCAAAGCAGAAGAAAATTTTTGAAGATTAATTGAGCTATAAATTAGTCATTCGTCTAGATCTTACCACCACCAATCAAACCTAATCCGACGAGAACACCGCCATAAGGATACTGCACGAAAAGGGAACCTCCAACACGATGCCTTGAAAAAGGTTACGATATCTTGAATGTCACCATCACTGTGACAATCGAAACCAGATTTTCATCCGGAGTGTTTGCCCTATGACACATATGAGGAAAGGAACGTCGCAACATCATCTCCACGAAGGTGTGTGGCATCCACAAGAGTCACCAATAATTTCTCTAACTATGCAAATACTACAACAAAACAGTCCTGCGGAGACGCTTTATTTGCTTATTAGAGACATCTTAGGCCGTCTCTAATAGGATGTAGAGTCGTTTTATCAAAGCGTCGCATAGGCGTCTTATTTGGCACCGTCTCAAATTTATTAAGATGCTTTAATAAAGCATCTCTACAAAATATTAGACGCTGATATATCGTCTCAACACTCATAGAGACGTTTTTACATAGAAGCCCTGAGCATGTATTTACAACGCTTTATGCGTCTCTTTTTGTGTCTTTACAAAAACCAAAACACATTTATTTATTTTATTAGTTGTACTAATATCCTAATAGGTTTCACTTATATTTGGATAATGTTCACATTGAACAACATCGATCATCACATCATTGTCATAGACATACCAAAAATGCCACCAAACAGTATCATCTCAAATTAAAGAAAAGTAATTATATTAAATATTAAGAGTAATTGTCGTTAACAACTCAGCTACAGTATACAAAAGGAGATCATCTCCTAAAAAATTGATCTGGCTAATACTTGAGTTTTCTCTAGTGATTCGATCAAGCACACACTTCAAAAAATTTCCTAGCCGTACACTACTAATACTTGCTTTTGCGCCTTTCTTCTTGACTGCAATTATCTTCATTTATAATCTCCAGCTGCAAAATAAGTTATTTGGAAAACAAGTCAAATTCAATCGACATGATCTCTGAAAAATGTGACAAAATAAGCAAGGTTATACACTAGTGCGTGACTAGCAGAAGTATGAAAAGATTAAAGAAAGTTTCCAAGATATGAGTGTCATGTACCTGCATTTCGGATTGGCGCTGGCTTCACCGAAGGTTCTATGCAACGAACCCTTCATAAGATTTAAGATTTCTGCAGAGCAAGATTAACAGTACTTCAATTAATATCTTTCTGAACAAAGAGGGTACAGCATTCCTAGAGTGCTAGCACCCTATAACACTACAATATTTTCTCCTACAGAGATCTACATCATTTTATCTTGGATGTACCATCTAATGCATCAGAAACCAACAGAGGAAGTTTAAACATAAGATAGACATATCTTCAACCTTCGTCAATAAACTAATTTTCCTCCTGTAATTAAGAAGATATTATGGATTCAGCGTATTATGAATTTCTTAAGGTTTAGCAGTGCTTATCTCAGTAATGCAATGCCCTGACAAGAGCTCTGTAATCGATCAAAGACAGTTTAAACAGCTGCGATAAAGAGGCCGTAAAAATTCTAATAAATATTCATAGAAATATGTACCCTTTTATTCTGAATTCCAATTCATTTGCCTGTGTTATTCAGACGGAATCATAAGGACTATAATCGTTTCACACATGACTTGTCCATCAACGTATCAGGACTGGTACAGTCAAGAACTCAAGATAGCCATACCTTTACGCATCTGACAAATTAAGTGAGCAGCAACAGATCGTTGTGCATCACGACTTCACAGCCGCTGCTCAAGGACACGCAGCTCCTGCCCACGTCCCGGTGACCTGGATGAGTGCCGACTTGCCGTCGCGGCCACCGCATCACGGCAGTTTGCCATCGATGCGTTGCCACACGGCCGCCGCCCGTATCGCAACTACCGCATCTTCGAATGATTTGGATGCTTGACATCGGAGCCACCGTATCACGGTCATGGCCGTGCGCCATCGCTTCATCTCGCACCTAACCGTCTGCCGGCGGCGTAGTGGGACTCGCAGGGATGGAGACGGTAGGACTTCTAACCTAGGGCTACTGATTAGAATGATCGGTATTGGGCTGCTTGGATTAATATTAACGAACAACAACGAATAGGTGGGCTTTGGATTGTTGGAATTGGGCTTCTCGGACCTACAACGTTGCTTTGGTGATTAAGGCCCTGTTTCTTTCAGCTTGGGATTATTATAATTTAGATTACTGAGTCAGATTACTATAAGCTAGATTGTTATAATCTGTAGTAGAATAAGCGGTTAATTGTTTCTTTCCTACATTATTAGAGCCTAAATTATTGGGTTTGCAAGTCTAAAGAGGGAGTGGGTGGCATGGTGGGTAATTTTTCACCCAATAATCTGGAAAAAGCTCACCTAAATGAGGTTATCAGATTATAATAAGCTGAGCTTCAGATTATAATAAGCTACTTCAATAAGTTGTCTGTTTCTTTCAGCTTCCTCCCAATAGTCTGGATTATAATAATCTCAAGCTGAAAGAAACAGGGCCTAAGACGTCAATAAAGTGTCTTTACCCTGGAAATTTTGTGGCGACTTGTAAACCGTCTCAGAGCAGGTACAATAGTAAGCTATAAGCCAGCTGCAAACATATTTTAAGGAGATAAATCAGGAGAGAGAAGAGCAGCGGGCTACAGATTTGTTGCCAGCTGTTGCATGGACTCCAAGACGCAGTGTGTCTATGACAGGTGGGACTAGGTATTAACAGTGTAGTATGTAACTATTGTATGAATGAGCTATTAGATTGGCTATAGATGAATTGGAGCTAGTAGTTGGCTATACTATTGAACTTGCTCTCAGGAAGCGTCTTTATATGCTACCTCATCCCAAATTCAGAGACGTGTTTGAAAGCGTCTAGAGAGAAACGTCTTAATGGGACCATTTTGTTGTAGTATATGTGTTTTTAGCATAATTTGCCTTGGTTATTCATAGAGCAAAAGGTAGATATCACCCTCACATATTAGAATGGCTAGGCATTTATTTATCTTCTCACATGTAAATGTGTAATTCTTTTATTTATATGGATTAAGTCCGATTAACCGTGCAAATACGATTTATCCCTCGAGTATGAAACCAGACAAATTACTCCACTGAACTATTTAATTTAGACAAAATACAACACCCATCCTAGTATGGGGTGGTTTTGGTCCTACGTACTGCACACGTGACAATCCAATCATCAGGTTTGATTAAAAAAAATAGTTGGCCCCATTTATGATTGCTACAACTATTCTTGTCCATGGGTGTAAAAGTCATGGTCTTGGCAGGGGAAACAAATATATAAATAGTTCATATAGTAAAATTGACTAAACATAAAATTAGCCAACTTTTGGGATTCAACATATCTAGTCCCAATTAAGGTACTCCCTTCGTTTCTAAATATATTTAAGTAAGAATAAAGTTAAGGGAAAAATAATCTCTTTTAGTCATCTCATTTGTTAAATTTTTTAAAAAATTGGATTCTCATCTTAAGCACATGATTGGCTGAAAATACTTATATTTTTATGCATTAAAAATGGTGCCTCAAATTGCTTATTTATATTGTATATATAATTTAAATCCTATAATATTTATTTCAGAAACGCAGGGGCAGGTGTAACACAGAGCAGAGGAGTATAATTAGTAAGCTTTAGCAACAGCATGTGTCAACAGTAACTAAGTTGTAACAATTGGCTAAATGGCTAGGATGATTGATAGCAAGTGATGTGGTTGGTAGTACACACTGACAAATTAGAATCATATGGGCATGTGCAACATGGACAAAAAGGGCAGGACCAATTATCACAATAAAAAAAATTAATAGAAAACGTCATCATAGATGTCGGTACATAAAAGCCCCGACACATATGAGGTTTTCCTCACCTTTCTATGGATCTACAAATAAAACCCGACACAAATAGTCACTCATTGATGCCAGTTCATAAAAAGCCGGCACCAATAGTGTCGGATCCCAAAACTAATGATTCGGAAACCGACATGTTTATACTGTATCAAGCCCTGGATCAGTAGATTGATACAGGTTCAACAATCTGGATCTTCATCGCATACATTTGAATAAGGCTCCAAAGGGGTTTATATTATAAAATAATAGGACATTTACAAGTTTGTGGCTAACTAATACAACAGAAGCTATAGAATGACTTAATCCTAATGTTTTGCTATAGACTTAAACCATCTAACTACACTAGACTTGAAGATTAGGTTTAAAGGGAACTAACTTATGTGATTGAACTCCCAGCTTCGGCAAAAACTCCAATTAAACTCTGAAAAAGAGGGGTTGAAGCAAGGGTGAGTACAACGTACTCAGCAAGCTATTATATTAACCAATAATGAATATATGAAATGGTAATATCTGTGTAGAGCTAGGTTTACTTGCAGAAAGCTGAGAATAAAGAGGTAGAAATCCTGAAATGCTTGATATGCAACAGTATTTAAGAAAATCTTGAATTATATTTCTAACCAAAGTACCATATGAGTCCCGATGCTCAATCCGTGAGCACGGCTATTCGAATAGATTCAAGGATATTCATACTGCAGTAGATGTACGCTTTACCCGCAGTCCACGACTTGCCAATAATCATTAGCTTAGTCATGGCCCAGTATTAGGTTATTAACAATTGTGGCACCTGTTCCATGAACTCTAATCCCCATGCGCTCTGAATGTAACGTTATCAGCAGCGAGAGGAGTTCTGGCGTTCCCGGGGTTTTTAGAGAGAACTGGATGAGAGACCCCATGTCATCTCAACCAGGTTTTCATAAATTCACACACACATCGCGCGATAATCAAGATATTTACCTGCGCCTCGGTAAATATCACATTTGCCCTTCGCGGCATATATTTGCCTCCTTCGCGAGGACTTACATAAGAACCACTGTACAGAGGTACCACATTGTTAATTAACATAATATCTAGGTCTGTCCCCATTCTAGAAGCTGCGGTCGTACTCGTTCGTTTGACATAAGTACTTGGTAAACTTATATCGACCGAGACAGTACTAGCCACCCGGAAATCAACCAAATCTTGCGTACTGTCCCAATCTAAGTTCATTATGTTTTATGCAATCTAACTAGGCAGGGCTAAGCAAAAGCTAGCATATAACTGGTTTGCTATATGTTCAGATTATGCATTCAAAATCATGAATGGCTAATGCATAGAATAGAGATATAGAATATAGGATAATTATGCTCAAGGGGAGGAATAATAACTTGCCTTGCTCCAACGCAAATGAATCCAAGATAGGCAACCTGATTATACGATTCTCGAAATACCATAGGTTGCCATCCAAAAGATAATAGTCTTTACTGAGAAAGAGGAAGAACCAAATTCAATAAAAGCTATAAAATAATAAGAAAACGATAAACGACTAAGAGGGCTAGGGTTTAAGGTATAACCTATCTCTTTTATAGGGTATAGGGATTATGGGGTTAGTATTTGCTAGTGGTAGGTTTTGGTAGTATAATAGCTAGGGTTTAGTTATATGGGAGTCGACTGTGGAGTAGGACAGTATCTCGGCTAGGCTCTATATTTTATGTGGAGGCTCTCGTGGTTTGGACGATAGGAAATATACTGGATAGTTGATATGGTTAAATAGGCATGTGGCTAATATGGGTTAAGGTTGGCTTTGATAGAATAGTGGCTAAGGTTTAGTTGTTTAGGCCGATATCGAGGTAGGATAAATATCGGCTAGGGTTTTGGGTGTTTGCTAGTCGTCGCTAGAGTTGGACAGCATGACGACTAGGTTTGGTATCATTTCTAGCCGTGTCGATAGACAACATATCGGCTAGAAGAATAGGAGGTGGGTGCAGGTTTAGTGGGGCGGAAGTGTTACTCCGACAACCGTGAGTGGCGGCAGAGCGGCTAGGATCACACAGAGCTCAAGAGCTAACTGTGCGGCGTGCAATGGAGGTCGAGGGGATAGTGAAGCTCCGACCGCTGTACGCATCAAGGCGTGGGGTGCCAGGAGCAGCACTTCGACCTTAGGTTTGGTTTTTGCCGGGCTCTACAACCAACGGTCCGACGTTGAGGTCCGTAGACCGCGCAAACGTCCCCATGGAAGGCGTAAAGTTCCAACCGGCGGCTTTTTAGTGGCTAACAGGCATTTTGGAAATAAAAGAAAATATTTGAAAAGCACATATAAGTTTAAATTGTAATTTCAATTATAAGATTAAATCAAATATTTATTCAAATGGCATTTGAATAAATTAAGGAAATTCAAATAAAATCTTAAAATAGCAAATTTGATGTCAAAATGAAGAGTTTGAATTTAGATGAATTTAGGTCCAAGTTTCACTGGAATCGGATCTACGGTTTAGGAGATATGTGCTTCTAAAGAATAGGATTTGTATTAAATCTAGAAAATGAGAAAAGTCACTGTGCAGGGGCCCACCTGTCAGTCTTTCTTTTTCTTTTTCTTCTCCTTCTTCTTCCTCCCGTTCCTTTCTTCTTCTCTTTCTTGCCGGCAACAGAGAAGAGGGAGGGAGGTGGGGCGCCGGTGCTCTGATGGTGGAACGGCTTCGACGGCGGTGGCCAAGCGTGTTCCCGAGCGACGCGCACCCGGGGAAGTCGGTGGCTGGCCGAGAGAGGGAGGAGTTGGCCGGAACGGCGAGTAGAAGAGCTTGGTTTCGGCCGGTATAGGGGGCGGCGGTGGTGGCTTAATTCGGAGGGGAAGAGGAAGGGAAAGGTTAGGGAATGGATTTGCCTCGTCGAGGCGAAGGTAGTGGCGCGAGGGCTTGGTCGGAAATGCTCCGACGAGGGAGATCGGCCGATGGCCGGCATTTGGAAGAGAGAGAGAAGAGAGAAGCTCGGGGCTCGGCTTGGTGTGGAGAAAATGGGAGGGGTTGCCGGCTATTTATAGGCGGCGATGGTCGGTTTGCAAGGTCGGTTCGGAGGAGGAAGACGAGGAAGGCACGGCGACGGCTTCGTTTGCTTAGCGGCGACGGAAGAGGAGTTGGCGGCGGCGTGCGCCGTGCACGGCACGCGCACCAGGAGGAGGAGGCGGCTCGGCTGGTGGTGTGGGCTGGTTTGGGCCGGCTCGGCTTAGCTGGGCCTGCAGCCCAAGAAGGAGGAGGAAAATAGAAGATAAAAGAAAAGGGATTGGGCCAAAAGAAAGAAAGAATGGAGTTTCGGCCCGATGACAAAAAGAAAGAAGTCTAATCTGAATACTTGATTTGGATAACTAGGTTTTGCAAAGGATTTGAATTCGAAGAGAATTTACAAAAGAGATTTCTTAAGTTATTTGAGTGCAATATTTACAGATGGAGTTTGAGGAAATTTATTTGGAAGCACTCAAATAGGAAGGGAAATTAATAATATTCCTCAAATATTTTTGGGAATATAGAAGGGAATTAGTTGAAGACAATAAATAGGATTTGAACTCTAAAATTGGTGTTATGTATATTTGTGGCTAAAAGGGGAAGTTGAGTGAAGAATATAAATTGGAATTTTCTTAGCACAAGAGCAATTATTCACAATATTTGCAATAATACAATTCTTGTGCCGAAGAGGAAATCAAGCCACAGAAATTAAATTGGTGGCTAGATCAAAAGGAGGAATTTGGATATTGGGATCGAGAATCAAAGGATGGGTTTAAGATCAAAGGATGGGCTAACAATTAATTCCAATGAGATTGGAATTACTTTGGTCTAGGTTCAAGGACAAAAATTGGAGGATTTCTTGGACCATAATTCATAATAATAAAAATGGTTTTTAAACTAAATTTGAATAAAAGAGTTTTAGTCGAAAGAAGGTTTAATATTTGAAAATAGAATTTCAACAAGAAATACCAAATATGTTTTTAAATGAAAAACACAAAAGGGATTAAATACCAGAGAGGTTTTATGCGAGTTAGTTTTAGGAGGTCCCTCTAATTATATTTTCCTAGGTTTAGAAGGTTATTAAGAACATAAGAATCAGCATGATGCAAGATTAGAAAATGACACATTTTCAGAATGTTACAAATAGTCCCCTGCCCCCTAAGTCATAATTGTCGGTTTTTTTAGAAAAATAGCATAAGGATGCCATGTATGTATTGATTCTTATAATAAACCAGTATCTATGAGTGCGACGTAACATGTGCTGATTTTTTATTGTGGGCCAGCAATATGGTCATCGCATATGTGTCGGTTCTCGATAAAAATCGACACCTATGGGTCCACAGATGTCGGTTTTAGCAATAACAAGGGCACCTATAATAACACTACTCATATATGTGTGTTTTGTACCTAAATTTTTCAGATGAAATTGGATGAAAACGAACATTATATAAAATTTGTAGTTCTCGGTGTGATTTACATCTTTGTTTGTAGTTGATGACGTTTTGATTTGAGGTTGTTTGGATGTTCGAATATGTGTTATAAGTTATCGGATCTATTTGGAGGAGTGAATTTTTGATATTTCTAAATGATCTCGGATGGAGATGAAATCTATATAAAATTTGTAGATTTAGATGAGATATATAATTTATACTAGTTGGCAAAATTTTTATTTTAGTTCATCTATAGTGTTAAATATGGATTATACATTTCGAATGAGAGTAGTCTTAATAGAACAATATTACTTCCAAGACAACAAGTGTTTTTTGGTGAGGTGGTAAGAAGACTTTGGGTGAAGTGATATTGTAGAAATCTTGTGAGCTATTGGACCATGTATAAATACCTAGTAAAATACTAAATACTTTTTAGTTTTTTGGCGCCCGTAAAAATAAAAAGGGGTGCACCTTATAGCCGGCGTCAACGAGGAGATGTCACATCGGTGACGTCTCCTCATTGCCACCTGATGGGTGTCTATCGGGAAATATAGTATTTACGTAGGATTTTTAACCCGTATACATATTTACGTATTAGGATTTGGAAGCAGTGGATGTTATTGTCGCTCAAATTTAATGAGTAGGATGTTTAATATGGACTGAATGCTTACAGTTGTAGATGGCAGTGGCTATCGAAACTTTTGTGGTGAGTGGTGACCAATCATAATAGATCACGGGCATTGACCAGCTTATTACGCACGTGCAAGATCTAACTCTAGTGTAGCGTAGCCGATGTCCACAGATTGACGATTATTGAAACATAGTATGGGCGTGACATTCACGTATGTACAATGGTTGTAAATTTGTAATGTACGGAACAAGCAGATGACTGAGATTTGCAAAATATCAGTTATCTAACCCGTAGCAAATTCAAGACGATCAGGTGACTATCTAATAACACCATTTAACAAGTGAAAATTTGTGATTGACAAATTAAAATTGAATATGGGGAGCTCCTAGTCCACACGTGTGCCAGCGGTTGTGCCCCCTCCACATGCTTGTGAAACACGCGCTATTAACACTGATGATAGTTCTTACCATTATTTTTTAAATAATTTAGTTGAGAGATTTGAAAATAGTAGTTACAAGTTTTAAATTTGAAGTTAAAAGATTTTTAAAATTTGAGTTGTAACTTTCTAAAATGTGAGTTGGAATTTTTTAATTTTGAATTGAAAGTTTCAAATTTGAGTTGAAAGTTTTCAAATTTTAGGTTATAAATTTCAAATTTTGATTTGAAACTTTCTAAATTTTAAGTTCAAAATTTTAAATTTTGAGTTGAAAGTTTTAAAATTTTGAGTTGAAAGTTTCAAATTTTAGCTTGAAACTTTATGGAAAAATAGTTGAAATTTTTGAAATTGTAAGTTGAAAGGTTCCAGAATTTTACCTTGAGAGTTTTCAAATGTGAACTGAAAGTTTCAAAATTTAACTTGAAAGTTATTAAAAATTAAGTTAAAAATTTTAAATTTGAACTATGTGAAAAAATTAATCAAATTTTAGGCTCTGTTTGGCACGGTTATAGCTCCAACTCCACCCCTACTAGAGCTAGAGTCCAGCCAAACAGTTTCATCACCACCTAACATGGGAGTGGAACTGGGTGAAGCATTCTCACAAAATAAACTAGGGATGCGAAGCTGAGTTTAGTCTGCTCCACAACTGTACTCCAAACCCAACTTCTGGAGTTAAAAGTTAGAAGTTAGTGTTTCACCAAATGTACTCTTAACAAAAAAATAAAGTGTATTGGTGGTCCTTAAACTTGTAAGGTTGTGTTATATAGGTACTTAAACTCTTAAAATGCATATTCAGGTCCCAGACCTTGTCAAAGTGTATCATCTAGATCCCAAATTGACGCATCCTCTTTATGATCCTACGTGGCGCTGATGTAGCAATGCCACATGGACGCGACGTGTCATTTTCTCTTTTTTTTTCTTCTTTTCTTTTTCTTTTTCATTTTCTTCTCATTCTTCTTTTTTTCCCTTTTTATGCACGGGTCACAGAGAAAGGAGAAGAAAGGGGAAAAAGAGAAGAAAAAAAGAAAAAGGAAAAAAAATTAAATGGGTCCCATTTGTCAGTCAAAATAATGCCACGTCATATACGTGTGGCATGCCACGTCAACGCCACATAGGATCCTAAAAGAGTTGTGGCGATTTGGGACCTAGATGACATACCCCTACAAGAGTCTAAGGACCGCCCGTGCACTTTATAAAAAATATATATATAGCTTCCAATATATCCCAATTCCCAAAACAATCAAGATGAAAACTAAAAAAAAGAAAAGAAAAGAAAAGGAACCAGTGCATGCATGCATGAATATGCAGGGGTGAGCTGGTGTGCATGCATGTGTTTCCGAGTGTGCGCCACATGAGTCTCGCGCGCGAGATAGCAAACCCGTGTTGAGTTTATCTTAATTTCTTTTTGTTTGATGGATTGGTTAAATTTGGACTTAGTTTGAGTGAGATGCATGACATAACATAGATATATAAGTACATTGAATCAGTGCTGAACCTTTCTTTTTTCCCTCCTAAGATTGTCCACAACTGCTTATATGGTTTTTGTGCGAGGGGGGGATCGACACGTCAGTACCACATCGTCTAGCGCTGCACAGGTACAGTAGCAGCTAGCGCTACCTTACAACGTCGGATCGCAGCAAGATCCGGCACGCGCTGTCTCGCTACAGCGAAATGGCTGCAGCGCTCGATGTAAGTATAGCTAACTACTGGCTCTAATTCATCTATAACCAATCTAATAGCTTATTTATATAATAGTACATACTATACTATTAATACCTGGTTCCACATGTCATACACACCTTGCGTCTTGAAGTCCGTGCTATAGCTGGCTATAAATTTGTAGCCCGCTGCTCTTCTCTCTCCTTATTTATCTTCTTAAAATATATTTGCAGCTGGCTTATTGTACCTGCTCTAAACGCTACGTACACAGTACGTGCCACGCGTACGGCCGGTAGGGCCCTATATGTTCCCGACGCCTACTACCGAACACAGTTGATAAGATGAGTTTATGGATATGAAATAGATAGAATGAAGAAGAGAGAAACGTCTATATGTTAATTAAGCTTAATATTGGTTTTTAAGTGTTTACAAAAGGAAATTTGTTATAATATGAGAATGCGTAAAGTAAAAGAAAGCTAATTTATAATTCTTTTGGTGCATTAATTTTTCGAGTGTTTGTAAACCTGTTGTTGTAAGAGAATATATATTGAACGAACTAAACGTCCAAACAAGGCTTTACTTTCAGGATTAGACTAAAATAGCTACTTTCCTTTAGGCTTGTTAATTTAATTTAGTCTTTTATATTTTTTATCTCTTTCTTAAATGGCTACTTCGTTAGAAAGGTTGCAAGGTTATTGATGGAAACTAGAAAAAGTTGTCTATTGGGTTGGTAATGATCGACTTTAGGCCTGGGTTGTCTAGCTACATGCAACCCGTGACTAGAATCCCGGGTGTATTTTCACAGACGTGTCTTCAAATAAATAAAGGGATGTCATCAAAATAATTTTTGTAGTGCAATAAATTATGTCATTGGAAAAGGATTAAGAATATATCATGTCAGTATTACGGATTAGGTATATCTTCTATACTTGAATTCCTAACCGCCATACCACATACCTAATATAAAGTATGCTTATAAGAGAATATAATAGATAAGAAAGAAAACTCTTTCCACGGAAATAAAAGGTATCGGACTTCGACCAAGGAAAGCAATGTCTTATATATATCCGTATTCTATAAAAGCTCCCCGAGTTTTACTTGGACAAGAAGTTGCATATATCCATATAAATACAAAACTCCTTAGGAGGAAGTCGATCATAAGTTAGCCACGAGCCACATTGAGAATCACTCACGAGGAAATCGATCGCTAGCCACCAACTCCAAGTCATTAGATTAGTTAGCTTAACTTAAGGCTGTGTTCTTTTGAAGGGGTTGGGAACCCCTCCCCTCCGCACGAAAAACGGAGTGATAGATTAACATGTGATTAATTAAGTATTAGCTATAAAAAATTAAAAAATAGATTAATATGACTTTTAAAAACAAATTTCTTATATAAACTTTTTATAAAACGTGTACCATTTAGCGGGTTTAAAAAGCGTGCACGCGAAAAACGAGGGAGGTGGGTTGGGAACCCATGGAGAAGAACACAGCCTATTATACCTATCTGAGATGTCAAACCAGTATAAAATTCCTTATCTTCCGTCTATTTTGTTGTAATCTCGCGTATACCCTGGCATCAATGTTTCTTATACTATACAAATACCGTTATCGGGTATAGCACTTTGATATATTGAAAGATGGGATAATAAGTCACGTACTCCTCTGGGAAATGACCAGCTTAAAAGCTAACAAAATTCACATTAGTTAGTGAGTACCTTTTCTGGACCGTGGTTATAAGCTTCTTTAGCAATAGCTACCATATATGTGTGTCGTCAGTGTGTGCTTGTAACTTTGCAAGTTGTAACAAATGGCTAGTTAGCTCATATATGGTACATCTTTAGGTGGATATGTAAGATAATATTCCTACAATTGTAACAATTTGCTACTCCCTTTGTTTCAAAATAAAATAATTTTTAGCATTCAAAATTTGTCTTAAAATATAACAACTTATATACCTATATTTTCTTCTCAACCAATCACAACCTTTCACCATTCAAATTATTCAATTATTTCTCTTCTCAATCAATCATAACCTCCTCCGATTGAATTTCAACTGATTTCTTAATATCCGTGTCTAATCCTAAAACTTCTTATATTTAGAACGAATGTATGGTATTATGGTACTACTATCTATGGCCTCGTTTAGTTGGGGAAAATTTTTGGGTTTGGTTGTCACATCAGATATACCGACACACATTTAAAGTATTAAACGTAGTCTAATAACAGAACAAATTATAGATTCCGCCAGAAAAATGCGAGACGAATTTATTAAGCCTAAATAATCCATTATTAGCAAAAGTTTAATGTAGCACCACATTGTCAAATCATGGCACAATTAGGCTTAAAAGATTCGTCTCGCAATTTACACGCAATCTGTGTAATTGGTTTTTTTTCTTACATTTAATACTCCATGCATGTGTACAAACATTCGATGTGGCAGCGTGTTTTTGTTCTGGGAACTAAACAGAGCCTATATATGCAGATTTACTACTGGAGAAGTGATTTTTGCTAGGTCGGCTGATAGACTAAAAATTGTTTTTAAGTCCCGGTTAAAATTTTTTTGATCTTTAGTCCCGGTTGGTGTTACCAACCGAGTAAAGATTATTTAGATCTTTAATCCCGGTTGGTATTATCAAACGGGAGTAAAAATCCATCTTTAAATATTTCTCTCCCATCTCCGATCGATTAAGTCCCAGACGAGACTTTCCTCCTCACCGAGATATTTAAATAAGATCGGATCATACCCTCTCCTCCTACCCCTTAGATCCCCTTCCTCCTCCCCTCCCCTCTCTTCCTCCCCTTCCTCCTCCCCTCCCCTCTTCTCCCCCTCCTCCCCTCCCATCCGGCGGACAACGGCGACAAGCTGGCGGCCAGCGGGCGGTGGGGCCACGCACGGCGGTGCCCGGCGGGGCCACGCATGGGGCTGCAGGCGGCAGGCGGCAGCCGTGGCGAGTGGCGGCAGGCGGCGGCCGTGGCAGGCGGCGGCAGCTGGCGGGAGGGGAGGCGCGCATGCATAGGCCGGGCGCCCTCTCCTCTACCGGTGTCCCTTTTTTTTATATAATTTGTGATTCATTGATATGTATAATTTCTTTTTTTTTAGAATTTGTGATTCATTACATGGATCTGATATGTATAATCTGTGATGTATTTGATTTGTGTGTATTTTTTTAGGATTTGTGATGTATTTGATTTGTGTGTATAAGTAACTTAGGATTTGTGATGTGAATAATTTGGGATGTTACTTTGATTTGAGGATATGCGTGGCACTCGATTTGGGAGAAAATATAAGGATTAACTCTAGCAAGTAGCAAAGAAACAATAAAAAAAAAAAGAAAAGGGGACCAACCGGAACTGTCACTACTCTCTCTTTAGTCCCGGTTGGTGTAAAGATTCAACTTTACTCCTGGTTATTTCACCCGGGATTAAAGATGGGTATCTTTAGTCCCGGATTTATAGCCTCGGTTAAAAAACCGAGACTACAGGGGGTCCCAACCGGAATTACAAACGGTTTCTCCGGTAGTGATTGTTCATCAATGATTGCTGACACATAATTGACAACTTTGGAATTATATTAGGGGCATGCTGCCCCCATGGACGAACGAGCAAGACTAAGACGTTATCGGTCAGTAATGTCCACACACGAGGTATATCAAGTGAAAACCATCGAATAAATAAAAACTCATCAAAATTAGATTTAAAGTTCTCAATCTTCTAAAGAAAATTCCTAGAGATACGTATAGGCATGAAATCTTGAGCCCAATTAACCTTCATTTGAAGAAAAAAGGTATTATTCATCTTAAAACAGTTTGGCTTTGACCAAAGTTAAAATGTCTTATAACCTAAAACGGAGGGAGTATTACACAGCAACCAAGTACTACAAACAAGCAGAAAATTTCGTGCTCAAGGAATCTCCCATATCAGCATGTTTCCAAACATAACAGAAATTTAATTTACACCCTACTTAATTTTATTACCCCTCACAAAACATGAATAACCAATGCAGCTAATCTGGGCACACCTATATATAAAGAAAGAAAGCATGGCCTCCCCATAGTGTAGCATAGCTCACTTCCAAGAGCCTCGTGACACACACCACTCACTATACTGGCCCCTCCTCCTCCTCGGAGATCGAGCCGGCCAGCCATGGCGGCCGCCGTGCAGCTGCTCGTCGTCGCCGCCGCCGCCGCCATGGCGGCGGCGTGCTGCGCCGGCATGGCGGCGGCGGCGGCGACGGTGGAGGTGACGTGGGACGTGGAGTACGTACTGTGGGCGCCGGACTGCCAGCAGCGGGTGATGATCGGGATAAACGGCAGGTTCCCGGGGCCCAACATCACCGCGCGCGCCGGCGACGTGATCAGCGTCACCATGAACAACAAGATGCACACCGAGGGCGTCGTCATCCACTGGCACGGCATCAGACAGGTACTAGTACACTCTACTGGTAGCATAGTGACCGGACAAAGTTTTACAATCATACAGTTCCTTCTTTTTTTTTTTTCAAGTCGAAACCAACGTTATACTTTCTCCATATAAAAAAAATATATGAGATTTTGGGTGGATGGGACACATCCTAGTGCAACGAATCTGAACCGTCTATCCACCCAAAATCCCTTATATATTAAGACGGAGAGAGTATATAGTTATTCGGTCCATACTAGAATATAATAACTTCTTATGTTTAATATAATAACTTCTTGTGTTTAACTTTTTATTAAAATATAATATTTTATCTTAAAATATAACAACTTTATCGATATAACTTGACAAATGTATATACTTCCTCCGTTTCAAAATGTAAGTCATTCTAACTTTTCCCACATTCATATTCATGTTAATAAATCTAGATAAATATATATGTATTCGTTAATATCAATATGAATATGGGAAATGTTAGAATGACTTACATGTGAAACGGATGGAGTACATGGATTCTCTTTAGTCTCAGCGAATCATAAGTATTTCTCTTTTTTTCTCTATCTACTTTCACATATCAACTAATCATTATCATTAGTCATATAATTTTATTTACTTTATTAATCTAGTGTCACCGCCTCGAACTGGCCACTGGTTTTCTAGCAACCCCTAAAACAGGAAAACACGAAGAAGATTTTATTTTTGAACAGGAAAAGCTCAAAGTAAATTGTCGTGTGTTTGAAAAGAAAAGGCACAAACTAATAAAGCGGGTCTATCTGGATTCTGGAACCACCCACACTGCACCACCGTCAGTGTCGCTTCCGAAGTTGCGAGAAACAACTTTGCTTTAGAATAACTTGTTCTCTTTTTAAAAAAATACAGTTTGTGAAAAAAAAATCGTAGTTTAACTTAACTTTGTAACAGAGTATAAGCCCTACTCTGCTTTTATATTTTCCTTTTATGCACTAACCAGCTCGAGCACAGCCTAAAACTTAAGAAAAAAAATTATGATTCTTAAGAGGCATGGAGAGGTATTAATAACTTTTGAAGTATAGTTTTTTTTATCTTCTCGTAGTATTGAGAAGTGGCAAATTTTGTACTTAACTGTGTAAAAAATAGTACCTCTCATTTTCTTCTCAAAGAACTATAAATTTACTCAAAACAACATAAACTGAGTAGAAACTAGAAAGGTCATGCATTTTACTTACTATAACAGTAATCTAAACTACTACACAACTACGAGTTTTATAATTCTAGAATGAATATAATGAAAAATGATGTAAAATCAATTACCACGCATGCAGTTTGGCACGCCGTGGGCGGACGGGACGGCATCGATATCCCAGTGCGCAGTGAACCCGGGCGAGACGTTCGTCTACAAGTTCGTCGCCGACAAGCCGGGCACCTACTTCTACCACGGCCACTTCGGGATGCAGCGCGCCGCGGGCCTGTACGGTTCCCTCATCGTCCTCGACTCGCCGGAGCAGCCCGAGCCGTTCCGCCACCAGTACGACGACGGCGGCGAGCTCCCCATGATGCTCCTCAGCGACTGGTGGCACCAGAACGTCTACGCCCAGGCCGCCGGACTCGACGGCAAGGACAGGCACTTCGAGTGGATCGGCGAGCCCCAGGTAAATAAAAAAACACATCGCCGCCGTCGTCATCGTCGCCGCCATCTCCGGTGATAGAGAACCATGTCGATAAAGAAGGCACGATGGGTCACCCGTGCCTTCAGGCCGGCACGGCACGGCTCGACTCGCCTCGGGCCGTGCCTAGCCCGTGTCGGGCGGCCCTTATGGCCATCTATACCGGTGAGTGCTAACAGTTAGTTTTTTGCAAATTGTAGACGATCTTGATCAATGGGAGAGGACAGTTCGAGTGCACGCTGGGGCCAGCGAGGAAGAGCTTTGAGAAGCTCCTCAACGAGAACGTGGAGACCTGCGTCGACGACCAGAAGATGTGCAGCGACCAGGAGAAGTGCCTGAGGAGGAGCGAGTGCGGGCCGTACTGCCCCAGGAGCCAGTGCGCCCCTGTCGTGTTCAATGTCGAGCAGGGGAAGACTTACCGCCTTAGGATCGCCAGCACCACCTCCCTTTCTCTCCTCAACGTCAAGATTCAAGGGGTAAGATAATTCAATGTTTTTTATGGATTGTATTTTTTAGATTGTACGAAAGACGCACGTATACTATCATGATGTATAATAAGGGAGCATAAATGTAAGTATACTGATTTAATCACGCTCGAAAATATATGAATGAGTGTCGGTCATCATCTTCAACAGTAGCTTGATGTGACTTGTTGTAACAATTTCAATGAAATTGAAGAAATTTTGCAAATGGTAAAATTTTGGCAGCACAAGATGACGGTGGTGGAGGCCGACGGGAACCACGTGGAGCCGTTCGTGGTCGACGACATCGACATCTACTCCGGCGAGAGCTACTCCGTCCTCCTCAAGGCCGACCAGAAGCCGGCGAGCTACTGGATCTCCGTCGGCGTCAGGGGGCGCCACCCCAAGACGGTGCCGGCGCTCGCCATCCTCAGCTACGGCAACGGCAACGCGGCGCCGCCGCCGCTCCAGCTGCCCGCCGGCGAGCCCCCCGTGACGCCGGCGTGGAACGACACACAGCGCAGCAAGGCCTTCACCTACAGCATCAGGGCGCGCAAGGACACCAACCGGCCGCCGCCGGCGGCCGCCGACCGGCAGATCGTCCTGCTCAACACGCAGAACCTCATGGACGGGCGCTACAGGTGGTCCATCAACAACGTGTCCCTGACGCTGCCGGCGACGCCGTACCTGGGCGCCTTCCACCACGGCCTCCAGGACAGCGCGTTCGACGCGTCCGGCGAGCCGCCGGCGGCGTTCCCGGAGGACTACGACGTGATGAGGCCGCCGGCGAACAACGCGACGACGGCGAGCGACAGGGTGTTCCGGCTGCGACACGGCGGCGTGGTGGACGTGGTGCTCCAGAACGCCAACATGCTGAGGGAGGAGGTGAGCGAGACGCACCCGTGGCACCTCCACGGCCACGACTTCTGGGTGCTCGGCTACGGCGACGGCCGGTACGACCCGGCGGCGCACGCGGCGGGGCTCAACGCCGCCGACCCGCCGCTGCGGAACACGGCGGTGGTCTTCCCGCACGGGTGGACGGCGCTTCGGTTCGTCGCCAACAACACCGGCGCGTGGGCGTTCCACTGCCACATCGAGCCGCACCTCCACATGGGCATGGGCGTCGTCTTCGTCGAGGGGGAGGACAGGATGCACGAGCTCGACGTGCCCAAGGACGCCATGGCGTGCGGCCTCGTCGCCAGGACGGCCGCCACGCCGCTCACCCCGGCAACGCCGCTGCCTCCGTCGCCGGCGCCGGCGCCATGAGCTCCTCCTCAGCATGCCCATTCCAGTTAAATGCCATTTTTGCCGTAACATTGTGATTGGCCACTGCGAAATAAGATCACTCACTGATGAAGAGTGGTTTAGATTGTTTGGTCATATGCATGCTCAATAATCTCATGTAACTAAGAAATAATGTCCATGTTTGCTAATTAAGATGATTGTGTAATATTGTTGCAATGTACACCAAAAATATTGCACGGTGTTGCTGGCAAAGAGTGGACACCCAGCACAAGCAAATCTCCAGCTAGTGGATAGCAAACCATGATAAAGTACGTATGTTCGAATGTGATATGCCTCAAATCTCCAGAAAAAGAAATATGTGAAGCCGTAAGATAAAGAGACATGGAATATTACAAGAAGCACTCAAACATCTTCAGAGTTACAAAATTCATGTCACGCTACAGGGAGTATCAAGAACTCTCTTGAACATCAGGCAATTCTTACCTCCTACCAGACTACATGTTCTACCAAAAACCATCCAATCCGGTCGCACATCCCACTTCCATTTATATATGTTAATTGGGAGACACCATTGTATCACATTTGTAGCAGATGATGTTTCGAGCTGTCTCATCAGTCGATCTTCACAGAAGCATATATCTTCCTCACGAACCAGAAGCAAGCATAGAAGCCAATGGTACCAGTCAGCACGAAGAAAGCATACGAGATGATCAGCATGTAACCAAAGTAGAGAATGCCTGAAACAAGCTTCGTGATCTCCAGCTTGTTGAAGAAGTAGAAGATGGCATAAGCAAAAAGATACAGTGCTGAAGAGCCAGCAGTCAGGTATGCTCTCCACCACCAGTGATAGTCCTCGCTGCATAGTTGGAAGTAGCAGAGCACAATTGTGATCTCAGCACAAGTAACGATGAGGATGATGAAGACTATGAAGAGGAAGCCGAAGATGTAGTAGAACTGGTTCAGCCAGATTGATGTCAGAATGAAGAAGAGCTCGATGAAGACAGCGCCAAATGGCAATATGCCACCAGCAAGTATTGAGAAAGCTGGCTGCAGGTACCATGCCTGCTCAGGAATTTGCCTGGGAATCTTGTTTGTCTTCACTGGGTCCTCAATGGCTGGCTGCTTGAAGCCCAAGAAACTTCCAACAAAGACTAGCGGCACAGAGATGCCAAACCAAAGGAGGAACAGAGCAAACATTGTTCCAAAGGGAACTGCACCTGATGATTTCTCACCCCAGATCAGGGCATTTAGGAAGAAAAAGAGTGCAAAGATTATACCAGGAAACATAAAGGCAGTCTTGAGGGTGATTTTCTTCCATTCAGTGCCTTTGAACATCTTATATAGGCGAGATGAGGTGTATCCTGCCAATACACCCATGAACACCCACAGAAGGACCATAGCAGTCATTAGTCCACCACGGTTTGCAGGGGACAAGAATCCAAGTAGCGCAAACATCATGGTTACCAGTGTCATTCCAAAGAACTGCACACCAGTTCCAACATAAACACAAAGGAGGCCTGAGTGGACAGGTGGCCTGAAGACATCACCATGCACTAACTTCCAGCCAGTTTCTTCCTGGGCCTCATCCTGGTTGTCAAGCTGATTATAGTTTGCAATATCCTTGTAAAGAGTTCTCATCATGATCATGGCTACCATGCCAGAAAGGAAAAGGACAATCATCAGTGAGTTAATGATTGAGAACCAATGGATCTGGCTATCACTTGAAAGAAGATAGACATCCCAACGAGATGCCCATATGATCTCACTAGCCTGCAACAGTTCAATTCAAATAAATCAAATCGAGGGGAACAAGTAGTTCATCAAAAGAGTCTTCAGAAGGAAGCTCTACCTCAAAGGTAACATCATAAGAGAATACAACATATGCTTCAGGAACCACGTCTTGAGGCGTGTGGCTACCAGGAGTTATCTTATTGTTAGCATTGCAAGTTTGCACTGTAGGGTTCTTGTCATCCCAAGCACTGTATTCATGCTTAATGCTGTAAACAAAAAGGCAAGCAAAAGGGACATTATACCTCGTACAAACAGAATTGCATAGAACAGTGGAATACTTTTTTCCTAATATCTGCATCTACATCCCAGACTCATTTGCAAATCAGTAAAACAATTAAAACAATGAGCATACATGATATTGCAATGGTTTCACGCTGATTAACTATGAAAATAAACCATAATGAAATAACCTAACAATTTCACCATAGCAGGAACTGCTACAATAAGAAAAACATGTAAGCAGCAGAGGACAAACTGTAGGAACTGATAATATAAATATAAGATCAAATGGTATTGTATACAATACCTGCTAGGAATCACATGGAAGCCAACAATACGAGCATCAGGAGAGTTTGGGTCTTCATGATACAAGACTTTAAAACTTAAGTGATTGTTGATATAATACTTGTCATCCTTGAGCTGGCAATATTATATGCAAACATCAAACTGATGAAGGCCCATTGATCAGCATTTGAAGTTTAAACAACTGACTTAGCGAGATACTCACCTTATAACCAACTCGGTAACCATGCTCAAAGCTTGGTGTTTGGCTTCCTTCCCTTGTTTGTCTAGGCACCACAACTGGGAGATTATCCAAAATCCTGAGAAAAAAAGGTTATTAAGAGGGAAAAAAGTTCAGTTGCTGTATTTTGAATGTATCTGCTGAACATATAGTACAATATATCAGCTGGCTAGATAGCTGATTAGAAATAACAAGGTGAAAATTTATAGCATACATGTTCACTCGATACTCATCGTCAATCTTTTCTTTGAAATTCTTTGCAGCTTCTGGAGAAAGCTTTGATCGACAAACAACCTTGCAGGTCTCATCCCTCCTCATCTTGAACTACAAGAGTTGAAAAAGTTAAACTATAGCTAATGAACAAACAGTTTTGCATAGTAAGTGGCAAAGCTCCACTGCTCCCTAGCCCTACAAGCAGCATCATCTTGTGTTGAAACTAGAGCAATTAGAAAAGTAATAGCCTTACATTATAGACAGAGTTTTCAATGCGATCCCCACGAAGGACTTCCCCTAAGTTCTCAGCACTATTCTTAATTGCCTCAGGTTTGCAGTAGTCTAGAAAATAGTAGTCATATGGAAGTTGTGTCTTCGTAGACGAAAGCTTGTTGACTTTAACTTGAAGCTCATCATCCTGCAAATTGAATGGTTAGCTGACCTTTCAAAATAAATTAGCAACAAAATAGCTGCTGTCAGTGCAGAATAATGAGGGGAATCGCACAAACATAAAGCATGGGACAATCATCTCAATTTGATCACATCTCATGCAAACATTAGTAAGATATATAAAAAAATATAAGGCATGTCTTCCAGATTCCCTTCGTAACTGGACATTTTGGACTAGAAAGTGCCAACCTAGGACTACTATCATGAACTGTTCTACAGGTCAAACTTCTTCAATCAAGAACGTGTGTCATGCTTCCCATAAGGATTATCATTATAGAATACACAGTTTATACTCATCTGAACTACATTCAACAAGACCAAATATGAGCTTAAAGATGCCAGTTATGCAGGATCGAAAGACATCGTAGGATAAACATGACAGTTTTACAGAATCTTGGACATTCTAAAATGGCCATCTTATGCGACAACTCTAGTGCGACTTAAATGGAATTTTTTTCATGCCTCATAAGGTACACGTTTACTAATAGTTGGCACCTTTGACCCTACCAACTCTACCCATCACCACCCACTTTTCTCACATTATACATGTTTTGAGATATTATCAAGGGCACTTCAATCACACTACCAAAAGTTAACTCCTTAATATGCTTCAGCTCAGGTCTGTTTCTCCAGTTTTTGTTATTCCATTTTATTAATATTACACTCAGTAATAACTATATTACCCAATCAGCCAACATAAACAATTACTGGTGATTTTGTCGTATCCGCAACCTAAACACAAACGTAGTTATAGGACCAGTAAATACAAAATCCCAACACGACAAAATGGAAAAATCAAGCACCAACCAAACAACGCCCATAACGTATCCGTGCCTCTACATGAATTCAAAATGGAAAACTCTACGTTAGGTCATCCTACATGAAAATTGCTCCCTCTGGATTCTTTGTGCGCTCTACAGTCTACACTAAACTAAACACAGATGATCCTACCACCAAAAAGCAAAAATACAGTACGACAGATTATTCCAACACCAATACAAGCTATCTCACCAAAGTATAAGTCACAGGCAATCGAAGGCGAGATAGGCATTGCCTCCCGCGAAATGCTCTCCCTTAACCCCTCGTATCGTAGCCCAGAAAAATAAAAAAACACGCGAACCTAAACCCATCCATTCGTCCGGATATTCACCATTCCACTCGCCACTCCCATAAAACCCTAAACCACGCGCGAACAATCCTCCAGAAATGCAGGGGGGGACGAAGGCATCGAGCCGAGCCCAGATCTGGGACCAGCGCCTCCCCGTACGGCCAGATCCGCCGCCACCGACGGGCGGGAGGGGCCTCCTAACGCTAGATCCGAGGAGGAGGGGGAGGAGAGAGGAGAGAGGGTAGGTTCGGAATCGGATCACCTTCTGGAAGTCGCGCGGGGCGACGCCGGGGAGGTAGAAGGCGCGGGCGGGGGAGGCGGCGGAGAGCAGGAGGGCCGCCGCGAAGAGGAGGGGCGGGAGGAGGAGGCCGCGGCGGCAGCCCGTGCCGCCGGCGATCGCCATGGGGGGGCGAGGCGGAGGCGAGTGGGGAAGTGTGCGCGACAAGGGAGGAGGATGGCGAGGTGTGGTGGAGGTCGGTGAGGTGGGGACTCGGGAGATGCGAGTTTATGAGAGAGAGAGAGGAGCATGCGGGGGTGTGTAATAAATCGTAGGGAATGGGTAAAGATAACATGTTCGGCAGCCAGTGTTGCCAACCAACCGCACTCACGAAAAATATAGCGACTCGTTACCGTATGATTAATTAAATACTCTCTCTATTCTAAAATACCATCTCCGTCCTAAAATAAGCGCAGCTGTGAGTTTTCGTGTCCAACTTTGATCGTCCGTCTTATTAAAAAAATTTTTGTACTCCCTCCATCTACTTTTAATAGTCATATTTCCAAATCTAAAAAATTTATTTTTGATAGGCATATTTCAATCCAACAACTTATCATCTTAATGACTTTCTCGGATTTAATGTGTGACTCTCCATTCATCCACACAAGATTGGCTACATGTGCA